ATTTAATCTGTATACTGAACAAATAATCCGAGAAGTCAGATTATCTAAAGAAGAATTTGGTATCAGGATAGGAGGAAGACTCTTTAACAATCTGCGATATGCAGATGATACAACTTAGCTTGCTGAAGCAAAGAGGACTTAAAATACTTAATGATGAAAATCAAAGACCACAGCCTTTGGTATGGGTTGTATCTCAATGTAAAGAAAAGAAAAATCCTCACCACTAGACCAATAAACAACATCCATATTAATGGAGAAAAGACTGATGTTGTCAAAGACTTCCGTTTGCTCGAATCAACCATTAACACTCATGGAAGCAGTAGTCAAGAAATCAAACGATGTATTGCATTAGGCAAATTTGCACAAGACCTCTTTAAAGTGTTCAAGACTAATGTGCACCTGTCCTACATCATGCTATTTTCAATAACCTGATAAGCATGAAAAAATTGGACAGTGAATAAGGAAGATTGTAGAAGAATTATGATGTTGGAGGAGAATATTGTAAGTATCATGGACTGACAAAAGATCAAACCAATGAGTACAGCCAGAGTGTTCCTTGGAGGAGAGGATGGCCAGACTTTGTCTCTCATATTTTGGACATAATGTCAGGTTGGCCAATCACTGGAGAAGGATATCATGTTTGGTAAAATGGAGGTTCAGAGAAAAGAGGAAGACTAACAGAGCGATGGATTGGCACAGTGGCAGCAGCAGTAAGCTCAGGTGTAACAACAGTTGTGAGGTTGGTGCAGGACCGGGCAGTGTTTCATTCTGTAGTGCCCGGGGTTGCTATGAGTTGGTACTGACTTGATGGTGCCTAACAACAACAACAACATCAACTCAGCACTCCATAAGATTTTTCTGTGACTGTGAAACTGTTGTATATCTGTTTTGTCTAATATGTTAGCTATTAGCCACATGTGGTTACTGAGCCATTGAAATGTGGCCCTGTGTCAAATATTTAATTTTTATGTAATTTACTACTAAAGACAAATTGTCACACAGCTCTAGTCACACACACAACACAAGTCCAGTTGACTAGATCAGTATTAAGCAACAGAGCTTCTTCCTTTGGCCTTCTGTGACTTTTCCTAGCAAAGAGATTTGACTAGATCTACTAAAAAGAGATTTGACAAGATCTACTAAAAAAGGTTGATATCAATTTGGAGTTTAACATAATAATAGCAATATACTTTACATTTCTGTAAGCTGAAACAAGATATTATACTTAATAATGAGTAGAATGATAGAGCACTCACGAGGTCCATTGACCTTGATGTCTCTTGAAAGAGTCTTAATCTTGGAATGGCTGAAGATGTAGGAACAGAAGACTGTAACTTGTTGCACAAAGTCAGGATCCAACTCATCATCATGCAGTTTCTCTAGCTGGCTAAGCTTTTTCCGATGGACGGGCTGATCAAAAATGAAGCATTTCTTCCTTGGGAAGAACTTCCGGATACAGAGTCGAGGCAGGTTAAATTTTTTATCTTTTTGACTGGTACCTTGAGGAAGATAAAAAGGACTTTTCCTAATCTAAGGGTTGACTGACTATTTCACAATAAGAATAAAGAATAAATATTTTTGACTTTGCAGCCCTGATGATCTCTTTTAAATCGTACCCACTCTGTCATTGTAACATAAACCAGCTACAGACAATAAATAAATAAAGGAACACAACTATATGCCAATACAGTTTTATTTACAAAGGTGTCAGGCTATATTTGGCCTACATTCTACCTGTCAGTTATAGTTTGCCAACCTCTGAGCTAGTATAGAGTTCATGCTTTACTGTATTCTGCTTCCTTCTCAAACGTCTCCTCTGATTCATATTCTTTGGCCAAATACAACTTCATAAACCCTAACTGGGAGTTAAACTCAATGTAATCACAGGACAGGAAAGGGGAAGGAATAAAAGCTTTCCTTTAGAATAGGAGAGTTGTTTTTGCTGTTAATTACTGAGTGGTATAATTTTAAATTGTGTCTATTAATTCGAATATTTAACAAGCTTTGATACTTAGAAATAGCCAGCTGAGAAGAAATAGAAACCTTTAAATATAAATACCCACTCCAAAAGAACGATTTCTAGTGTTTTGTACTGTCCATTATCTATCCGCAAGTCCATGTTACCTGGATTTAGTTTTAGGGAATTCTCCAGGTACTGGTCTGCTGTGATGGATTGTCCATTTATTTCCAAATCCAGGGTGAAATCTCTCAGAGCCCATACAAAGTCTGGAAAGAAGCTCACAAAGTCAGCTGAATCCTCAACCTCACTCGTATCAGGTGAGGATTTTGACCGGATTCGTTCTGTCAGCTCTGTCACATAACTGAATAACTTACCTAAGGAAAAGTGGAAAAATTAACAGCATGCCTCATCCACACATTACAAAACTTTCGAACTGCCATTTTTCTGAATCCAGGCTAATTTAGCAGTAGAAATGGGGTCTCTTTCCCCAGCACTTGATTAATAATCAGGCAGCTTGTTTATCAGTACAGATGCCCCCTTCTGACTTTCAGGCTGTGCTTGTCCACTAAAGGATACTGCAGTTGGTCCATGGCCTGCTGGTTGATGGTTCCCATACTATTGTATATGAAAGTGCTGCTCAGGAGGACGGCTAAGGCGAAGATCCAGGAATCATTCTGGTTGTCACCCTTGAAGTCAGAATGCAATTGGATCAGATACATGAGAGGGCTTTAAGAAGCTTTTGGAAAAATGAAATGAAAACAAAACACAATTTCTCCATGAACTTTTGGAATTCCGCCCTCCCTTCTATGTTCCCATTCTCACAGAACTTTTCTAATTGCAGTGGGAAAGTGTGCTAATTGAACTGGAATCTTTTTGGACTAATGACCTATAAATGGAACCCCAATCCACATGTAAAATGATTGATAGTTGGCCTTGGACTTTTCTCAGTTTTGTCATTAATATTTTTGTTTCTTACTGATTCATAGTTTATCACTAACTAGGCCTTCTTATGTATGATCATTGTCAGATAACCACAAAATAAATATTTCAAGGTTGATAGGTAGGTATTCCAGCCTTTACAGTTAAGATTTTTTTTTCTCTTTTTCCAACAGCAAAATTGGTTTTTACAAGGAGATTTGAAAAAGTTTTGGGGAAATTTTTAATTAAAGGATTATGAAATTTTAAATGAATGTTTTGAAGCCCTCTTACATAAGAGTAATACTACTTCTATTTATTTTATTGAGCAATTGTTTTGTACTTGACACTTTACACTACTTATTCAAAACCCTACATGGGATAGTAACAGAACTATTTTATCCACTTTGCAGATCTGAAAGCCAAAATGCAAAAAAAAATCAAATATTTTGGTAAGGTAACTGAGTTAATGACAGATTAATGAAAACCAATTCTTGAGACTACAGAACCCAAATCCTCTGTAAGATAAGACTCACGACACTGATTTTATTCATATTATCTTCATGCAAATGAGTTAACTGGCTTTTTAAATAATCTACAGTTAATGATTAAAATACCATCTTGAGATCACAATGCTCTTCTGCTAGATTTTTGGCTCATGAATAGTTTTTCAACTCTGGTTGTTACATTTGACCTTATAACATGTACACAGAAATAAAATGATAATATTGTGGTTAAACAAAAGCTCTCTTATAAGGAAAACTAAATTTGTTGTTGTTGTTGTTGTTAAGTACCATTGAGTCAGTTCCCACTCACAGTGATCCCGTATAGGATTTTGGAAGAGTGGTTGGTGAGCTTGAACCGCCGACCTTGCGGTTCAAACCGATCTTGTAGTCCAGCACATTAACCCACAATGCCACACTAGAACTCCGAAAACAAAATAGTATACAACAGATATTTAGAGAGGATCATCTTAATTCAGAACTGGATACTCCTTCCTTACCTTCTCTACATCTCCTAGTCCCTCAGTGTCAAGCAGAACTAGGGTGTGATTTGGCTTCTCAGGATGAGGCACACACCACATCCAGATTCCCTTGGTGTGAGACTGCACTGTAGAGCCCAGAGAGAAACCTGCCATAGGATATTAGGTGTAGAGATTTAATAACAGAAAATTCTGGAAATTAAGCTAAATGTTAAAGTCACCATGGGTAGGAGAGGTAATAGAAACCACAGCCAGGATTATTTTTAATTACAAACAGAGAACTAGGAAAATAGAATATCTAATACAGACTGACAGCACTTGTCTGCCAGCTTGTTCTACTGTGGTGGTTTGTATGTTGCTGTAATGTTGGAAACTATGCCACTGGAATTTCAAATGCCAGCAGAGTCACCAATAGTGGACAGGTTTCAGCAGAGCTTCCAGATTAAGACAGATTAGGAAGAAAGGAGTCTACTTTTTAAAAAGTAGCCATTAAAATCCTTATGAATAACAGCATAACACTGTCTTATATAGTGCCAAACAATGCATCCCTCGAGTTGGAAGGCACTCAAAATATGACTGGGGCAGAGTTGCCTCCTCATAGTAGATTGAACCTTAATGAGGTAGATGGAGCAAAGCTTTTGAGGCATTCATTTGCTGATGTGGCACAACTCAAAATGTGAAGAAACGGCTCCAGGCATCCATTAATAATCAAAATGTGGAATGTATGAGGCATAATTCTAGGAAATCTAGGAAAATTGAAAGTCATCAAAACTGCAATGGAATTGAAGCTCTAGGCATTAGTGAGTTGAGATGAACTGGCATGATGGTAGCAAAGAATCTAAAATAGATCATGGACTGCCAGAAGAATAGTGAACAAATCTATGCTGGAAGAAATACAACCAGATTACTCTTTAGAAATGAAGATGGCTAAACTTCATCTCATGTACTTTAGATATGTCATCAGGAGGGACCAGTCCCTGGAGAAGAACATCATTTTTGATAAAGTAGATGGTCAGTGAAAAAGAGGAAGACTCTCCATGAGATGGATTGACAGTGGTTGCAGCAATGGGCTCAGACATAGGAATGATCATGAGGATGGCAAAGGACCAGACAGTGTTTTGTTCTGTTGTACATAGGGTTGCTATGAGTCAGAACTGACTTGATGGTCCCCAACAACAATAGATTGAAATATTTTACTTTACTTAAAGATTAGTGGAAGCTTGTTGTTACTATATCAACTGATTAGTAAATATTTTATTATGTTAATTAAATATATTTACATAAAAGCAAAGAACATCTATAATTTTAAAAGGAGTAACTACAAAGCATGAAGACAAGCTTCCCAACTGTGGATGTAAAGCTAACTTTCAATGTTCATCCTGTCTCCATACTTTCTCTCCTCATATCACCATGTTTGATGGTGGGCAGTGTGGGTAGACAGAGAGACTCAGCAGAGCTTTACTGGTGCCACTTACCCTTTTTCTTCCCAGCCAATTTGTTCATCAGGTAGGATTTACCTGTGCGGTAGAGACCCACAATAGCCACCACCATGAGAGGCTGATTAATGGCTGACAAGATCTTCAAAGCTTCTTGATTAGCCACTAGTTTTTTATTAATGTTCTCAATGAGGCACACTGGGCCTGGCATGTGAATCTCTGAGGCCATGTCCAGGGTGTTACCTTATCTACAAGAGAAGATCGAATTAGATCAAGAACTTTCACCAGCATATTGCTTTCATAAAGTAGAATAATGAAATTCTCTAGCATGGGTAAAAATGTCATTTATAATAGTGAGATAGTTATATCATTTTAGAAAATCACATAAGTATTAAAAAAGTGGTCTATTGGTAATGGCGGTGATTTATCAACATTCAACCACTCTCATGATCAAATTTTCCAACAAAATTTTTGTTGATAACTTCTTTTCGGTACTCATACAAGAATTACACAAAATATACTAGACGTTAAACGGAAAATATACTCAAGAGAAGTATGCAAGCTGACTATGTAAGAAATTAAATGTTTATCTATTTAATAATTCTTAATTGAACCTGGTGTGGCTCTATAGGATAAGCACTGGACTGCTAACCACAAAGAAGGTGGTTCAAACCCACCTGTTGCTACTTGGAAACCCTATACAAGATTGCTCTGAGTTTGAACCATCTCTACAGCCTTAACTACAACCGAAGAAAGATTTTATTTTTATTGATATATTGTGTATGTTGTTTTTATTAAGTGCCATTGAGTAAGTTTTGACTCATAGAGACCCTGTATAGAGTTTCTGAGGAGCAGCTGGTCTCAGAACTGTCGACCTTGTGGTTCAAACAGACCTTCCACTCCAGTGTGCCACAGGACTCCAATCACTAAATCTTTGTTTTCAACTACAATGGATAGTCTGATTGTGAGAAAAAAATCACATACAAACAAACCTGTGTTTACATATAATATGCATAATATTATAGAATATTTAATAGAGTCTCTCACATAACTCTGTCTAATCAGGATTTTCCTGTTTTTCTATCTTTATCACTGAATCTTAAATAAGTAAGATCTAGAGACTTTAAGTCTGACCTATGGGCTGGTATACTGGTTCTTACTTTTGGTTGTGCAATAGAATCTGATATCCAATATGCCAATTTAGGTTGATTTTTTTTTTTTTTTAATTTAAGGTTTTTT